TTTTTTTTTTTGTTGTTGTTGTTGCAGTTGTCATTGTTGTTTTAGCTGGCTGGGCCAGGTTTGAACCTGCCAGCTTTGGTGTATATGGCCGGCACCCTACCCACTGAGCTATGGGCGCCACCCTGTTTTGACTCTTGATTTGGATAGCACTCTTTTGGTGGTGGAGAATTGGCTGACTTGCATTGTGCACTTTGACACTTTGTTTCTGGTTCGTATTGGTACACCCATATTTCATCACCAGTGATAACACAGTTCAAAACATCGTCTTTCCTCTCCAAAAGGTCTTGGCAAACTTCAAATCTCCTTTGCTTTTGTTCATTGGTGACCTCCTTTGGGACCATTTTTGCACATACCTTTCTCATGAGAAGATTTTCAGTTAAGATTTTCCTATTTCTCTATTAATTTTAACTTGGTCTGCTGTGCTTTTCACAATCAACTGTGATTTTGAAACATAATTCAATGAATTTTTGCAATGCCTTCATCAGTGATACTTTCTCTCCTCTCATAAAAAATTTAATCTACTGGTACACTTACACTTTCTTCATGGCATTAACCCTATAAACTTGGACTAATAGGTTCTGGATTTCACTTCCACTCTTACCAAGTTTAACAAGAAATTTAATGTTTATTCTTTGCTGTAATTCAAACTTCAACCTTCTTATGATGGCATACAAAAACAAGCAACAACAATAGTAAACACTGCTCAGCAAGACACTGCCACATATTCACATAAACACAACTGATATATCAAGGTTTTGAAACCTTACTGAGTTGTTTGAACAGTGCTGCCAACATAAGCCAATTATCAGAACTTGTATACATTGTATATATCAGATATACATTGGATATTAATTGTACCACTAAAAACCTGGAGCAAGGCAAATGCCTATTAATATGGGAATAGTAAATAAAGTATGGGATAGTCATATCATATAATGTAACCATTAAAAATAATAAATTAGCATTGTAGCACTTGATTGGGAAAGATTTCCATGAGCTTTGCTAAATATGGAAAATGAGATGGAGAATAAATATACTTTCATTTTTTAAAAAGAAGCCATTAACAAAATCCCCGTGTATATACATGTATCTATTCTGTAGATATGCTGATAGAGATATGATTACATGAACACAGACAAAAGCACAGGAGTAAACACACACATCTCAGATTGTTAAAAGTAGTTACTAGAGGAGGGGAGGGTACATAAAAGTGAAAAAAGAAACAAAAAACAAAAAATACAAGTTATAAAAAGGACCCCATATATATAGAAGCTATTTAAAAAGATTCCATGTGTACAGAATTATACAGGTGTGCGTGCACACACGTGAAAGCACAAAGCAGTAAGACAGAAAGAGAGAGCCAGATCACAGCTTACCTACAGCGACACTGTGGGCAGGTGTGTGCTGACTTGTATATTGAAGAAGCAGAGAGAAAAGTGTTGAAGGAGACACAGCCAGCAGTTAACACTGGACAAAACCTGAGCTGTAAGTTGGGGCCACAGTTAGAGAAGCTCTGTAGGGTAGACATTATGAGGTGGATCTTTAGAATCAATCCGAACTGACTCCAGATTTGGTCACTTTCTACCACTTTCAAGCACTGTGGTCTTGATCAACTTAGTTAACCCTTAGTTCAGGTTCCTTATCTATAAATTCTTGTGTCTGCTTTTCTGTTTCCTTTATCCCTGTCAAAGAGTAATCCATTCCCTTTGTACAAGTGCCTGCTCAAAGCAGGCCCTTTCACTATCTCTTATTTGCCTCTCCTAATCAGCTGTGCTTGTAATCCAGGCAGCACTTTGCTAGATGTACACAGTATGAATAATAAATAAGGAATGAAAGTCTGCAGGGCACTCTGATTTCAAAGTGCATAAACATTTGTCTGCCCCAGAAACTACATTAATCTGTTTTCTCATTCTCAGTAGAGTTGGGAGAGTGAAATAGCAAGTTCCAGATTGTTGAGGTCTAACTCTAAATTGGTGATTCCCAAATGAAGATGATTTTGTCCACAGGGGACATTGGGAAAAGTATGGGGACATTTTTGATTGTCATAACTGAAGGTGATATGGGCTCTTAGTGGGTACAGGCCAGTATGCTGTGAAACATCCTAAAATGTATGGGGCAGCCCCACAATAAAGAATTATCTGCCCCCCAAAGTCAATAGTGCCATCATTGAGAAACCCTGCTCTAAATGTACATGTCCTATCAAATTACATTTCAGCTGTCATACTAGATAGCGAGTTAGTCCATTTACATATTTATAATTCCAGCATGTATACAACTCAACAATCTGTACTCTTTGTCACAAGGAACAATGCTGTATAATGACCAATTTGTTGAGGTTTTTTTTTTTTTAATGTGCCCTAAACAAAATTCCACCTCTTAATTTAGCCTCCCCTACAGATCAATGCTCTATATTCAGTCATACTAAATCTGCTTTCACATACGGCCTCTTTTATGAGACCAGAACTAGTTGAGACAGGTGATAAATCATGCTTTGATAGGAGTTCTATTTTCCCCTAAGAGGTCATTCCTAATTTCAAAGCAACCAACCTTTAAAAATTCCAGGCAGTAATCATAAAATCTAAAAGCTGGAATTCAAGCTGCAAACAACTTGTGTCTCTAAAACCACAAATTCAGAGTGGTGCTGTCGTTGCTCAGAGGCAATGAATCACTGCTCACATGCTCACAGATGTAAATTCCTCCCAAAAAGAAAAAAACCTTTATAAAACAAATTCTTCTGTTATGAAACTGGCATGCCTGAGCCTGTTTAAGAGCATTGTCACGGATCACACTCACAGTGTGATGCTCTGGATGCTCTGTGCTGTAGAAAATGCCCAACAGTCACTGACGGCCTGTCCTCACTACCAGTCTAGTCATAGGTGAGGTCAGTTACTGCCCTGGAGAACTTGCATTTGAGGATCTTCTCAGGAACAAGAAGCTCTGAGTATAGATGCTTGTCATTATCCTCTGAGTACCACCTGCACCCCACCTGGGATCCTCTGTTCATCTCTGGAGTAAGAGCCTCCATTCACCTAGTCTGCCTCTTCCCGAGGTTCAGGGAGGCAGCCCACCTTGAACCCAGAGGTCCTCAGGGGCTGGGCCAGGCATTTGATGCTTAGCATACAGGGCCCTGAATGGTCCTCATCTGCTGCAGTCTCTTCCTTGCTGCCCAGAGACAGCAGACACCTCAAAGCTGGGACTGTGTTTCATACTATGCTTCCCAAACACGATCACCTGGTGATTCTATAAATGGCAGATTTTGACTCAGAAAGTCTGGGGTAAGGTCTGAGATTCTGCATTTCTAACCAAGACCACACTTTGAGTAGCCAGGACTCAGACCTAGTTGAATCCCCAGGAGACTTGATCACAGCAGGCTCTAAATAAATATTGATGGTGAAGGGGTGCGACTGTTAGTTCTTTGTAAATGAGTGCCAGAATTAAGAAGACAGATCTGCCATGTCAAACCCCAGGCTCGTCACTTAGGAAAAACACTGCCAGAACTGACCAAACATGGCATTGTTTGAGTTATGAAAAGCTTTTTGCTGGTTACACACTAATGCCACTGAGAATGACTAAAGCAGTCATTAAAAAAAATATTTAACTTGGTAAAACTTTCAAATCAGGGAAAAGAGATTTATCAGAAATTACTGCTTTTCCCATCTGAGGGCACTTCAATCTTACAAGGCAAAGTTAAGAGAAGCTAAACTTTAGCAAGAGTCATGCTTCAAATGCAGGGTAATATAAACATCTGCTTAGAAGAGCTCAAAGAGAACAAGTAGGTAAGACATCTCTCCATCATTTCAGGAATAACTCATTTGCACTCTGACATAAACTAGTTCTGCATTTAACGTACTGGAAACATGGAAATCTTCAGATACACCATTAAAAAAAAGATGGATATATAGGTGTTTGTTGTACAATTCTGCATACTTTGATAGTATGTTAAAGATTTGGGGTTACAGTTCTGGTTAAGATGGAGTGAGCACATTCCACCCTGTCTCTCCCACCAAATATAATGAACAGAATGAAGGGAGCACCCAAGGAATGAAAAGTAAATTGTAGCAGGAAGATTGGGGAAGGAAACTACTAGAACTCAGCCTGAACAATCTTACAATGAGCACCCTGATTCTTTTGTCCTTCCATACCCTTCAACTTGGACTCAAAGCAGCACAAATCATGAACTGTGCCCTGCATGTAGACTGAAAGAGTTCCAAGGAAAGCTTATATTTCTGCTCCCCCTATAACCAGAGAGGGTGGGAGAAATCCTCTGTATCCTTTTTCTCCTCTGGCCCTGCCTCCAGCCAAGCCCCATTCCCAAAGCTACAACTCCTGGTAGCAGGAACAGCCACAGTGGCTGGACAAACACCTAATACCCTGACATAGGGAGATCCTTCTCTCTGACCAGAGGAACTGTGGATTATAGGTGTGAGCCACCATGCCTGGCCTCACTGCAAAGGTTTTGAAAATTGAAGTGACACTGATACCAAATGATGCTGAAAAAAAATTGGTCATCCATATGCAAAAACAAAAGAACCTTGATCTATTTCTACCTTGTACTACAATTAACTCAAAATGGACCATATATCTAAATATAAAACATAAAGCTATAAAAATTTTAGAAGAATAATATGAGAAAATCTTCCTGACCTTAAGTAAGGCAATCATTCTTAGACACAGCATCACAAGATTCATTTTTAAGAAAATAGGTAAATTATACTTTACCAAAATTAAAAGCTTTTTCTCTATAAAAGAGTCTAAAAAGACAAGTTATAGACTGTGAGAAAATATTTGCAAACCACACATCTAACAAAGGACTTGTATCTAAAATTTATAAAGAACTCTTAAAACTCAAAGGTAAGAAAGCAGCACATTTCACAAAAATGTTCAAAAGGTTTGAACAGACATTGCACTAAAGAAGATATACAAACAGTAAATAATACATTAAAAGATGTTCAATATCATTAGCCATTAGGGAAATGCAAATTAAAACCACAATGAAATGCCTATACATACTTGAACGGTTAACATTTGGGGAGGGGGATGACCATATGCAGATGAGGGTGCAGAACCAGTTGAATTCTCCTACATTGCTGGTAGAAGTGAAAATGGCATGGCCAACTCTGAAAAACAGTTTGGGGGTGGCGCCTGTAGCTCAAAGGAGTAGAGTGCTGGCCCCATATGCCAGAGGTGGTGGGTTCAAACCCAGCCCTGGCCAAAAACAAAACTGAAAAACAGTTTGGCAGCTCCTTGTAAAGTTATGCAAACACTTACTATATGACCCAGTTATCTAACTCTTAGGTATTTACATTAAAGAAACAAAAACATATGCTTACACAAATACATGTGAACGTCTATGGCAGCTTTGTTTGTAATAGTCAAAAGCTGGAAACAACCTTGATGTTCTCCAACTGGTGAATGGATAAGTAAACTGTGGTAATCCATAAAATGGAATAATATGCAGCAATAAGAAGGGAGGACTTATTGATACATACAACAATATGGATGAATTTCAGAGGCATTTTGCTGAGTAAAAGAAGTTAGTCTTAAATGGCTATATAATATGTATTGCTTATATGACATTCCCAAGAAGGCAAAACTATGGAGATGGAGAAGATATCAGTGGTGGCCAGCACAGGAGAGGTTTGACTTAAAGAGGTGGTCTGAGGGAGGGAATATTCTGGGTGATGCAGCTGTTCTGCATTATGATAGTTGTGGTAGTAACATGGATACACAAGCAGTCTCTGAGTTACAAACATACACCTTACACACAACTTACACTTACGAATGGAGGTTATTGTAGTAAGTCCTCAAGTTACAAACATCTGTCTAATGCATGACAGATGTTGCACTTCCTGTCCCAACTTTAATACAAATTCAACTTAAGGACAAACCTACAGAACCTATCTTGTCACAACCCAGGGACTGCCTGTATACATGTATTAAAACTCATAGACCTATATACCAAAAAGAAAGTTTCTTGTATAGTATGTTAATTTAAAAATTAAAGTAAAATTAAAGAATACTGTATCAGGTGTTCCATGTCAAAATAAGAATACACTTGGCTAATCTGGTATATTACCAAAGTGTCTTTTGTAGGTGAATACATATTACAAAATAATAAAATGTCAATTTCCCGACCTTAAAAGGACACATTACTCAATTACTATAACCATCAACACGACTAATTATACTCACAAAGTGAGAGTGCTTTGGGAGCCAATTTTTAATTCTTTTTTTTTTTAAACATAACAGTCTACTTGCCCACCATTACCACAGCAATAAATTAAAGGAGGATATGCCCTACTGGTTATACAAAGAAAAACCCTCATCATTATCAAGTCTAGGCCTTGTCTGTGACTGCCAACAAGATGACCAATGGCAGTCTGACTTCATTTATCTTCCAAATATTTACTAAGCACTAAACCCAGATCCTGTGAAATATGAAGGTAAAGCAATGCTGAGCCTCACCCAGGTTACAGTTCAGAGACCAACTACAATACCTCTGCGGGAATCTTCTTAGCAGTTTAACCTAAGAACTATGGTTCACTGGATAATTAAAAACCAAGAACTTTAGAGCAAGGCTATCATCTTCTTCAACAACTTGAGATGATGAACATGATGGTGGGTCTCTCCAGCCAGTTTCCTTGTGCTACAGTAAAGTATTAAAAGAAAGTGGGAAAAGTAGGTGAAAAATCCCCAACCTAGATTTTGAAATTTAGGTAGACAAATAGTTAAGCTGATCTGTAGTTAACAGCTCTTTGAGACAGGTTCATTCAAATCCTGACTTGGCCCTTTTTAGATGTAATTTGGGGTGGCAAGATATTTAATCTCTCTGTCTCAGGCTCCTTATCTATAAACTAGTTATTATAATAATACTTCTCTCATAGGTTGGGAGGGGTAGATATCAAAGTTCTAAGACTTTGTGCCTGGTACCTAGTACATGTTTAATAAGCCTTATTTATTTTCAGAGTTCATACAGCAAACGCCAAGATTTAATGACCCTGGGGTCAGTTAGCTTCTGTCTTCCATGTCCCTTATATTCTGGACCACCATCTTACTCTTACAAATGCATGGTAATGGCCATAAGGTCAACTGGGAAAAATAGCAAAAGCCCAAGCCCTGCAAGTAATGGGTAAACAATTGAGTCACCAAATACAAAGAGCTCATAATAAGTATATTCTCTCCAAAAAGACCTTTCCAGAAGGAACACTGCCAAAGGAAATATTTTGTGTGCATGTGAAGAAAAGATATCCAGAGTGACCAGATTCTCCCTGTGCATTGGTTATGCTACCACCCATTCTACCAAATGAAGATGAGCTTACCTTATCAGCAACATCCACCCTGGCCTTGTGCTTAAGCAAGAAATTCACTACAGATAAATGATTTCCCCCAACTGCAAAATGCAGGGCTGTCCGGTTCATCTGAGGAAACATGAGTTTTGTTTTTAGTTATCTGATCATTGTTTAGCCTGTTTAGGTTTCCTGTTTCTTGAATGGCCAAACTTTTTTGTCAGTTGTTTCCACTTTGATTATTTCGCTTTAATCTTTGCCTTTGAACATTGCAAGAATGTGTTCAGCAGAATTTTGCTTTCATTATCAGATAACATCATAGAATTTGGCAATTCGCTGAAGAATATACCTCAAACTGAAACCCATTACACAACATGTTATGCAATAGAGTGGATTTCATTCAGAGAGTAAAAGTCAGTATTTCCTCCATATACAATCATTAATAATTTTTCTGCTTAGAATATGGTACATTGATATTGCATAGTAAAACTTTTCCTAGATGTTCAATCCATTCACATTCTTTTTCTAGATTTTTTTTTACTGTAAATTTTACTGAAATAAATAAATTGCTACCAAAAGGAAGAAGGAAAAGAGGAGGGAAGGGGAGTGGAAGGAAGGTAGGGAAAGAAAGACACAGAGATGGACGACATAGAGAAGAACAAAAAAGCAAGCTCGGAACATCTTTCACTCCAAGGGAAAGTCAACATCGTGCTTGTGGGATGCCCAGAGACAGTACAATACATTTCAGACCACGGGGGTTTTGCCTGTAAGTAATATAGGTATCATATTTCCTGTATTCGAGACTGTTTTTGCTCCCAAAGAAGATGTCTGAGCATGGCTTTATTATTATTAGTTTCAGAGAAATAATCATAAAACTATGAGAACTGTTTAAATATTTTATTTTGTTTGTAGTGTCAACCTAAATAACAAATCAGACAGAGCTTCTCTAAAAGAAAAGATATTATTAGGGAATGAAGCATTCCTATAGGAATACATACGCCATACCAAATTGCGGTGGTAAAGGAACACAAGGGTTTTAAAGGGAAAAAATGAGGAGGATGGATTACATAATTATTGTGAAATAATCATCCTTGGCTACAGAGATCAATGTCTAAGGTTGGACAGGCAATTGCTGGGCAGATGTCCTTGCAGAAGCTTTTTCGTGTAAGGTTGCAATGGCCTTTGTGCAAGGTTGTGGTTTTTGCAATTCTTTGCGATAGTTTCTGTTATCAGGCTTACAAGCACGAGAACCCTCTTTTCATAATCTTCCCTGGCTCTATTTGTCAGAGTTTTCCAAACACTAGTGACTCTACTTTGGTCCTGACAACTTTCAAAGTAGCTAAACTGGTAATAAAATAAGTTTGACAAAACACAAGTTATCTTGACATTGTTTGCAATTTAGAGCTTTGCTGTACCATGTCAAATTTGGGACTGTAAGCTCCCCTATTAATTTTATTTGTGAATAAGGATGCAAGCCAAAATAGTAGCCAAGACAATTCAGGGAAATCATTTATATTTTTTAATCCCTATATTCAGAGATTTTAAGAAACTCTATAAGAAATGATGTTAATAATTTGCCATACTTGGAATTAAAACAGATGTCCTTAGAAATTTAATGCAATTTATCAGGTGCTGATAACAACTTGCCATACAGTTTGTAATTTAATATTAGACTGTACTATTGCTCTAGGTACTTGAACATAAAAGCACAGTTAAGGCCTGGCATGGTGGCCTCCTCAATGCCTGTAATCCTAGCACACTGAGAGGCCACAGTACTGGATTGCCTGAACTCAGGAATTGGAGAGCAGCAAGAGCAAGACCCTGTCTCTACTAAAAATAGAAAAAACTAGCTGGGTGTTGTGGCATGTGCCTGTAGTCCCAGCTACTTTGGAGGCTGAGGCAAAAGGATTGTTCAAGCCCAAGAGTTTGAGGTTGCTGTGAGCTAAGCTGCCATAGCACTTTACCCAGGGTGACAGAGTGAGACTGTCTCATAAAACAAACAAACAAACAACATAAAAGCATGATTAAAGTCTCAAAAAGTTGTATATGGAAAAATTTTACACGGGTAAAAAAGAATATTGTAGAATATTTCCTGCTACTTGGAAAAATGAATACTGTTTCACATAATCAACAAATAATTTTCCATGGTCACAATATATCCATAAATATTTTTGTAACTATGCAGATATTACCTTCAATGATCCTTGCTTATTTCTGTTCTTATCTTTTCCCCTCCCATCTATCCTCTCTTCTTTCCTCCCTTACTTCCTTTCCTGGTATTGTTCCTTGTTTTCATATTGCTATGGTACAAAATTTAGCTGTTTTTCTGCTCTTTCTAGGATATCTATGGAACATGAATACTAGATACACCCATCACACATCAGACACACACACACATGCACACACATTGTAGACACAGGCGTGTAAATGCACACACATAAGCAGACACCCCCCCACATACACACACCCCTCTCCTAAACATCCTTCCACTGCATTTGATGGGTGACTTCAGATTCTAGTTTCTGTTTCTATGACCTGACAACCTGGAATAGATGCAGGTTTTATGGAATGTGAATATTTAGGAAGCCATCTTTGAAGACAGTCAGAAGGCTTAACTAGTTGCAGTTAAAATGTCTTTTTGAGATTTTTATAAAATAATACAGCCACGGGAAATTGTTGCTAGAGCCCTCCCAGTGCCTTAGAAGGGGCCTGTACAAGCAGGGGCCCTGGAGCTTACACTTACGCATTTGGCATTAAATCCACCTTGGCTATAACTACCCTATAAATTGTCCTAAGCAATTGAGATGCCCCCCCAACCTATTTACTTTGATAAACCCTCCCATGAGGGGCAGTCAAGAAATTCTCACAAAACAGACCAGTAGAGAACCCATATTTCTTTCTTTGTTTTTCTTTTTTTCTTTTTTCTTTTTTGGAGACAGAGCCTCAAGCTGTTGCCCTGGGTAGAGTGCCATGGCATCACAGCTCACAACAATCTCCAACTCCTGGGCTCAAGCGATTCTCCTGCCTCAGCCTCCCAAGCAGCTGGGACTACAGGCACCCGCCACAACATCCGGCTGTCGTTGTTTGGCGGGCCTGGGCTGGATTCGAACCCGCCAGCTCTGGTGTATGTGGCTGGCGCTTGAGCCACAGGTGCTGAGCCAGGAAATCTGTATTTCTGACAGTGAACTTCTCTCCCCAAACCCAGGCACTGAAAGAACAAGGAAGAGCCCGGTTTCAGAAAAGGCCTCCTTGCCCAACATGTAGATGAGCTATATAAAAGCAGTAACAAGAAAATCCACAAGCCCCTTTGGATCCTAAATTTGAAAAAACTCAACCACAAAAAATACCATTGTAAAGAAAACGACCCAGATTGTATAGCAAAACTTGCTCTGCCTTTTTAGAGTGTGTGAGGTCAAACTGATTCACAGGCACAATCCAGGACCAAGTTTAAGCCCCTTGCCTTGACAGCTGGCTTTCCTGCCCACCTACAGACTTCGCACAGAGGTGCATGATGAATACCCAGAGACTATTTCACTGATGGATTCTGCCATTAGCTTAAACACCGCAGCTTTACCCACAAAGGAGACTTCATCTCAGCCAGCACATTTTTATTTTTATTATTTCAGTTGACAACTCCAAGGTATCACTTGGAGTAGCCACTTGTCCTATTTGTGACTTTTACTTACATTGTTCACAGCATTAATGTTTACCTTCTTTTCAAACAGCTTCTCCATAAAATCCAAATTATTGCTTCTAGTGGCATTCTGAAAGCTTTTCTCATTTGGCAGTACTGAAAGAAAGCGAGCAAGCGTGACTGAGAAAATTTAAGAAGGCCAAAGAGAAAGACATTTCATATGCCAAGCTTCGTAACTCTAAAAACTTGAAACAACAGTTGTGAGTCTTTCATATTTTTGCTACTTTCTTTAGGATATGGGGACTTTGCTTCAATATTTTCTAAAGCTATAGTATCCAAATTCCACTTTCTTCTTATGCTGCATTTTCACACACTTAAAAAATGTTCCTGACCCCAAACAAAACATTATTCACAAGGACCACACTGAAGTCAGCAATGTGGTATCTGGCTTAGGAGGTCAGAGGGTGGCCACAGATTTCCCAGGGGACATTGTTTGTAAAAAGCTTGTATAAGATTAGACAGGGAGGAGTCCAAATGTTCCACAAACGCTTACAGAGATAAAACTGTTGTTTGCAGAACTCACTACAGATGCCAGGGCTGCAAAAACAAAACCTTAAAATGCAGCCTCTCATATATACACACAAAGGCTAAAAGAGATGAATGTGTTTTATTCTCATTCACGTGAAAAGACACAAATGCAGATTCACACCTACTACAAAGTTTACATAGCATGCGCATATACACATTCAGATGGCATGCTTTATTAACTAGCGTGGAAAAGATTCCAGGATTTAGTAAGTTTTTTCCATTTAAAGGAGCTAGATCAGGGGACAGCCTCAACATCGGATAGTTCCAATGCTGGATGATAAAATCAGAATTGAGGTTAAGTAGAATCAATCATATATCATCCCCCCAAAGAAAAGAGCATTAGAAAGATTTCGTAGATATGTTGCTAAATAATTTCCCAAGTTTTTGCCAAAGGCTTGTCAGAATCCTGCCAAGTCCAATCAAGAACCAAGGAGTATCTTCAAGGAGACATTGATATGGGTTGAATTTTTTCTCTCCAAAATTCATATGTGGAAGGCCTCGCCCTCAGTACCTCAGAATGTTGACTGTATTTATAGGTATGTCCTTTAAAGAGGTAATTAAGGTAAAATAAATTGGTCACGTGGGTAAACAAGAATATGATATGACTGGTGTTCTCCATGAAGACAAGACTAGGTCGGGTATAATGGTTCACACCTGTAATCCCAGGACTCTGGAAGGCCAAGGCAAGAGGATCACTTGAGGCCAGGAGTTCAAGACCAGCCTGGGCAACATAAAAACACCATATCTCTACAAAAAATTTAAAAAGTTAGCCAGGCATGGTGGCGTGTGCCTGTAATCACACATGTGGGAGGATGGCTTGAACTCAGGTGTTCTGGGATGCACTGGGCTATGATCACACCACAGCAGACATAGAGATTTTCTTGGCAGCTTGGGCAACAGAGTGAGATCCTATCTCAAAAGAAAATTTAAAAAATTAAAGAAAAAAAAAGAATATGATACAGGCACACACAGTGGGAAGATCACGTGAAGACAGAGGGAAAGGCCTCTATCTGTAAGTCAAGGGGAGGGGCCTGGTGAGACACCAACCATGCTGTCTCTTTGACTTCTAGCATCTACTGCTGTGAGAAAATAAAATTCTGTTGCTAAAACCATCCAGTCTTTGTTACGGCAGCCCCAGCAAACCAATACCGATTTACATGTTCATTCTATCACCTCTCTTCCTTCCAATCCCCACTCTTATCACCATTCAGGGTGAATCAGTATCCTTGCAGATGATTATACCAACACTGTGGCCTCTTAGTTCCCCGACTCCCTCACCTCTAGTAATCCTTCCCCATCTGCCCTTAGCCACCTAATTATAGGAACACAGCTAATCATCACCCCAACTACACTATCTCTGAAATCTTGACTTCACAAATCCCATTTTCTGACCCCCTTGCCTTCCATTTGGCTAACTTGCACCAGTTCTCCCACTCTAAAAATCCTAAGACCTCATAAAGTCCTCCAATCCTTTATTCCAGTGATCTGCAACTGGTGTGCCTGGGGCAACAGAGTGCCATGGCATCATACCTCACAGCAACCTCAAACTCTTGGGCTCAAGTGATCCTCTTGCCTCAGTCTCCCAAGTAGCTGGGACCACAGGCGCCCACCATGATGCCTGACTAGTTTTTTCTATTTTTAGTAGAGATGGGGTCTCGCTCTTGCTGAGGCTGGTCTTGAGCAATCCACCTGTCTCAGATTCTCAGACTGCTAGGATTACAGGCATGAGTCACCACACTCAGCCCCTTATGAAAAAATTAACTCACAATGAATCATAAATGTAAGTGTTAAACATAAAACTATAAAACTTTTAGAAGAAAACAGAGGTGAAAACCTTCAGAACCTGGGTTTAGGCTAAGAGTTCTTACATATGCCACCAATAGCATGACCATAAGAGAAAAAAAGTTGATAAACTGGACTTTATCAAAATGTAAAACTTTGCCCTATAAAAAATATTATTAACAGAATAAAAAGACAGGCAATGAACTGGGGGAATGTATTTGCAAATTATATATCTGACAAACTATATACACAATATATAAAGAACCCTCCCAACTCAACAGTAAGAAAATAATCCCACTGAAAAATAGAGAAAAAAGACTTTGTCTTTGTTCATTTTCCATTGCTATACAGAATACCACTGGGTACAGTATAATAGGCACATTATAAATGGAAGTTTATTTAGCTCATGGTTGCGGAAGCTGGGAAGTCCAAGAATACGGTACTGGCATCTGGTGAGGGCCTCCTTGCTGTGTCCACACATAGCAAGAGGGCAAGAACATGTGAAAGCATCAGCTCAGGTCTCCTTCTTTTTACAAAGCAATCAGTCCCATCATGGAGGTTCTACCCACCCTGATGACCCTATCTAATCTTCATTACCTCCTAAAGGACCTACATCCATTTAACCTATGAATTTGTAAGTTATCAATACATGAAATTTGGGGGACACATTCAAACTAAAGCAGATTTTAATGGAACAAAGAGGAACCAAGAGGGATACACATGGCATCATTAGCCATTAACAAATTTACATTAAAACACAGTATCAGGCTTGGCGCCTGTAGCTCAGTGGTTAGAGCACCAGCCACCTACACCAGGGCTAGCGCCCAGCCTGGGCCTGCTGAACAACAATGACACCTACAACAAAAAAATAGCCAGGCTCTGGGCTAAGTGCCTGTAGTCCCAGCTAATTGGGAGGCTGAGGCAAGAGAATCGCTTAAGCCCAACAGTATGAAGTTGCTATGAGCTGTGACAACACAGCACTCTAGTGAGGGTGACATAGTGAGACTCTGTCTCAAAAACAACAACAACAAAAAACACAATATCAATACACACCTATTTCAATGTCTAAAATTTTTTTAAAAAATCTTGTCAATACCAAGTTTAAGCTTCTTTTTAGGGCCTCAAAGCCCTGCATACCTCCTCAGCCTCATTTGCTCTTCCCTCCACTCCTTATGCCCCAGTTAGGCTGGTCATCTTCCTCTTTCTAGTATCAGGTTTTTTTTGTTTTTTTTTTTTTGCAGTTTTTGTCTGGGGCTGGATTTGAACCCGCCACCTCCAGCATATGGGGCCGGAGCCTGACTCCTTTGAGCCACAAGTGCCGCCAAAGTATCAGTTTTATTCCTGCCTTGAATTTACTGTTACTGTTGCTTGTCCTGCTTCTCCCTAGGACCCATGGCCTTCACAAGCACTTACCATTACCCTAAATTATATCGTTCATTTATTGCTTTTGTTCTCTCTTTCTTTCTTTTTTTTTTAATCTAGCAACCTTTCACCACAACAGAATGTAAAGCTCCCCCAGAACAGGGGTTGCCTTGTTCTCTGAATCTGCACTTCTAGAACATGCTAGCAAATAGTAAGCCCTTGAAAATATTTCTGGAATGAATTGCACATTATAGGAAGGAATTAGTGTACAGCTCCTGAGGTTGGTCTTCAGGAAATGAGACGATCCCTGCCAGCCCACTTGGACGGTGTGCCCAGTTAACAGAGGTGAATCATGCTAAACTTTTTTTTTTTTTTTTTTTTTTGAGACAGAGTCTCACTTTCTCACCCTCAGTAGAGTGCTGCCCCATCACAGCTCATAGCAACCTCCAGCTCTTGGGCTTAGACGATTCTCTTGCCTCAGCCTCCAGAGTAGCTGGGACTACAGCGCCCACTACAACGCCCGGCTATTTTTTTTTGGCTGGCGCCGGGTTCGAACCCACCACCCTCGGTATATGGGGCCGGCGCCCTACTCACTGAGCCACAGGTGCCGCCCATCATGCTTAACTTTTGAACTCTTGAGCAGCTGCCTCAGTTTAGGTTATAAATTACTCCCAAGACATGGGTGATCCACTCCATGCTTTAAGAACCTAAGTGCAGAAAGGGTAAGTGATTTATTTAAAATCAGAGAATAAATCAGTGCATGAGTCACGATATAAGAGAGAACAAACAGCACATAAAACTCGTTCCTTATTTACAAAAGGGCTTAATCATTTCTTTAAAAAGCCTCCGCCTTGGCTC